GAATATCCGTAGTAGTAGTATACGTCGTATCGTAATTAAAACTAATAGTAGTACTACTCATAATATAAGTAGTAGTAATACTACTCGTGATTAACGATCGCTTCGTATAGTTAAGAGGACTGTTTGACTTGTATGGCTGTTTCTAATGTTCATTCGTAATCGTAGTCGCATGCGTATTCTCATTTATACGAGTCGTGTTCGCAGTAGTAGTAGTAGTAGTAGTAGTAGTAGTAGTAGTAGTAGTAGTAGTACGATGAGTTATATAATTATTACTCGTGGTACTACTATTACCCTGAGTCGTTGTAGTATTAGTATTATGGCTAATTCGTATTTTTGTCATTCGCAGCATTAGCAGTATTGTTCGTAAAAGTCTTCTTAGTATTATGATCACGAATACGACTAATGTTTAGTATGTTTCGCAATCGTATTATGATTAGTTTCATTCGTACTCGTGGTACTTGCATTATTATTCAAGATCGTATTGACAATAGTGTTAAAACTAGTAGTAGTTATCTTAAGCCTTATTAGTCTTCTCAATAATATCACTCGCATTGCCCGTCTTCGTATTTTCAGTCGTGTTCTTGAGAATAAAATTACCCTGTGACGTACCCAACCCTTTCGCTACATGTGGCGATTCTACTCATGACCACTCAGTGCTGACTGGCATTATGAAGGACCCGCAGTGCGCAGAAAGAACACCCAACTATGTGTTCAGAAGAGCGCAGCAAGAAGTCCTGTGGTGATCCACGTATGACGTACTTCCGCCGGGCCTCCCAGGAACCCACGAAAGTTGCGAAAATTACGCAGATCGCAACCCCCTAAGGGCGGCAAGGTCCCGCGGTGATCCGCGTATGACGTACCTCCGCTGGGCCTCCCAATAGCCCACGAAAATGGCGACAATTGCCCAGATCGCAGCCCGCCAGGGGGCGGCGAGGTACCGAGGTGATCCGCGTGGGACGTACATCCTCTGGGCCTCCCAGGAGCCCACGACATTGGCGACAATTGCGCAGATCGCAAGCCCCCCAAAAAGGCGGCGAGGTACCGAAGTGATCCGCGTATGCCGTACTTCCGCTGGGCCTCCCAGGAGCCCACGACCAGGGCGACACTTGCGCAAATCGCAAGCCCCCGAAAGGGCGGCGAGGTCCCGTGGTGATCCGCGTATGACGTACCTCCGCTGGGCCTCCCAGGAACCCACGAACGTGGCGACAATTGCGCAGATCGCAAGCCCCCAAGGGCGGCGATGTCCCGTGGTGATCCGTGCATCACGTACCTCCGCTGGGCCTCCCAGGCGCCCACGACATTGGCGGCAATTGCGCAGATCGCAGCCCCCCAGGGGGCGGCGAGGTACCGAGGTGATCCGCGTGGGACCCACCTCCGCTGGGCCTCCCAGGAGCCCACGAAAGTGGCGACAATTGCGCAGATCGCAAGCACCCCAAGGGGCGGCGAGGTACCGAGGTGATCCGCGTGGGACCTCCGCTGGGCCTCACAGGAACCCACGAAAATGGCGACACTTGCGCAGATCGCAAGCCCGCCAGGGGGCGGCGAGGTGCCGAGGTGATCCGCGTGGGACGTACATCCTCTAGGCCTCCCAGGAGCCCACGAAAGTGCCGACAATTGCGCAGATCGCAAGCCCCCCAAAAAGGCGGCGAGGTACCGAAGTGATCCGCGTGGGACCCACCACCGCTGGACCTCCCAGGAGCCCACGAAAGTGGCGACAATTGCGCAGATCGCAAGCCCCCCTAGGGGGTGGCGAGGTACCGAGGTGATCCGCGTGGGACCCACCTCCGCTGGGCCTCACAGGAGCCCACGAAAATGACGCCAATTGCGCAGATCGCAAGCCCCCCAAAAGGGCGGCGAGGCCCCGCGGTGATCCGCGTATGACGTACCTCCGCTGGGAGGCCCCACGAACACGGCGACACTTGCGCAGATCGCAAGCCCCCCAGGGGGCGGCGAGGTACCGAGGTGATCCGCGTGGGACCCACCTCCGCTGGGCCTCCCAGGAGCCCACGACATTGGCGACAATTGCGCAGATCGCAAGCCCCCCAGGGGGCGGCGAGGTACCGAGGTGATCCGCGTGGGACCCACATCCGCTGGGCCTCCCAGGAACCCACGAAAATGGCGACACTTGCGCAGATCGCAAGCCCCCCAAGGGGCGGCGAAGTACCGAGGTGATCCGCATGGGACCACCTCCGCTGGGCCTCCCAGGAGCCCACGAAAGTGGCGACAATTGCGCAGATCGCAAACCCCCCAAAGGGGCGACGACGTACCAATGTGATCCGCGTGGGACCCACCTCCGCTGGGCCTCCCAGGAGCCCACGAAAGTGCCGACAATTGCGCAGATCGCAAGCCCCCCAGGGGGCGGCGAGGTACCGAGGTGATCCGCGTGGGACCCACATCCGCTGGGCCTCCCAGGAACCCACGAAAATGGCGACACTTGCGCAGATCGCAAGCCCCCCAAGGGGCGGCGAAGTACCGAGGTGATCCGCATGGGACCACCTCCGCTGGGCCTCCCAGGAGCCCACGAAAGTGGCGACAATTGCGCAGATCGCAAACCCCCCAAAGGGGCGACGACGTACCAATGTGATCCGCGTGGGACCCACCTCCGCTGGGCCTCCCATGAGCCCACGAAAGTGGCGACAATCGCGCAGATCGCAAGCCCCCCAGGGGGCGGCGAGGTACCGAGGTGATCCGCGTGGGACCCACCTCCGCTGGGCCTCACAGGAGCCCACGAAAGTGGCGACAATTGCGCAGATCGCAAGCCCCCCGGGGGGCGAGGTACTGAGGTGATCCGCGTGGGACCCATCTCCGCTGGGCCTCACAGGAGCCCACGAACACGGCGACACTTGCGCAGATCGCAAGCCCCCCCAAGGGGCGGCGAGGTACCGAGGTGATCCGCGTGGGACCCACCTCCGTTGGGCCTCCCAGGAGCCCACGAATGTGGCGACAGTTGCGCAGATCGCAACCCGACGGCACGAGAGAAGAGGAGAGGGGAACACCGGAAACAGGAGAGGAGGAGGTTGAGGAGAGGGGAGAAGAAGGAAGGAGGGAAGGAAGGACGGGGCGACCACACTGCTCGATTCAGAACGAGTACCCAACACAGGAGGGTTGGGAACTACTGATATCCTTATCATTCGCAGTGTATTACCATTCGCGGTATTATTCCTCTGTTTATGCATAATTGTCCTCCTCCCTCCTGCTCTTCCTCCTCCTCCGCCTCCTCCTCCTCCTCCTCCTCCTCCTCCTCCACCTCATCCTCCTCCTCTTCCGCCTCCTCCTCCTCTTCGTCCTCTCCTCCCTCTACCTCCTCCTCCTCCTCCTCGTCCTCCTCCTCCTCTTCCTCATCCTCATCCTCATCCTCCATCTCCTCCTCATCCTCCGCCTTCTCCTCCTCCTCCTCCTCCTCCTCCCCCTCCTCCTCCTCTGCCTGCTCCTCCTCCTCCTCCTCGTCCTCCTCCTCCTCTGGCTTCGGGTTCCTAAGAGACGTAATCCGCTGGGCAAACTACGCCCACCTACTTGAAGCAGGACGCATTTCGAGGCCAGGAGACACGCCGTACACATCGGGACCCGACCGAAGGTTGAAGGGCCGCCTCGAGGCCCCCTCAGACTTCGGGAGCCTCTCCAAAAACCTCGGACCATCCTTCGGCGGTCCTCGTCCGCCGTCGAGAACGACAAGTGGTTGACCGTGTGGGACACGTTCGTGAACGCGAAATTCAAAGAATCGTCGCCCGAGTGCGTTCCTCCTCCTCCTACTCCTCTTCCCCCTCATTTCCTCCACATCCTCCTCGGGCTCCTTCGTTTTGCTGATTCGCATGATTATACTGAGCCGTACATATTTAGCATTACTCATGTGTTCGTCTCATTATTATTCGTAGTATTGATAGGTGTAGTAATATTACTAGAATGAATATTGCCTGTATAAATGTTAGCCTTACTATTACTAGTACTAACGCTAGTAATAGAAACATTGCTCATGGTAGTAGCATTCGTCGCGTTATTAATCTTATCATTACCATCGTCAGCATCATCATTTGTACGATTGGCTGTGATACTAATAATGGTGGTATTCTTCATATGTTTTACGATTATTTGTGCTACTGTTAGTCGTCGCATTCGCATTCATAAAAGTATTATGGGTTTTGTGTGACTGGTATTATTATTCGTCGCAGCCTACGTCTTCGTAGGAGTATCATAAATCGTGTTCTTCTTATAACTCAGAATCGTAGTCTTCCTCGTTTTATTCGTATTCGTCGTAGTAGCATATTCTTCTGCTTATTATTACACTATCATTTGATTCGTTGCCGTCTTTTGGGTAGTACGATTCTTAATCATACTTCTCTTCTTCAAAATCGTAAACATCGTGTTCTTACTATTATGAACAGTATCGTATGTGTATAACCCTTCATATTCATATAAAACTGTGAATGCTCCTCCTGCTCCTTGTATTCCTCCTCCTCCTCCACTTCCTCCTCCTCCTCCACTTTCGAAATTCGACGTGCGGGAATGTTGCCTGCATGGCGACAGCGGCCCTCCACCATCCCCCCACCAGAACGCTGGTGGGGGGTAACAAACATGGGCGGTAAACTAAGGACAAGGCGAAAGGCGAGCGAACGGCGAGGACGAATGTGTGTATATATATATATATATATGGAATACACCGTAGGGGAGGGGGATGGCGAGACTGCCCGTGGCGACGCGGTGCGCGCGCAAGTGGGGGCCGAGCTTGGGCCCCAGCTCGGCGGGGAGAGAGGGCTGAGACCTAGAAATGGGGACCGCCTGCTCCGCCGCCGCGTGTGCCCAATCCAGGGGCGAGGAATGAAGGGGCCCCAGGACACACAAATAAATACACACAAATAAAAATACTCCC